CGCCTGTGCGGATCTCCGACGGCCCAGAACGCCCCGACAGGCAACGACGGACAGCACCAAGACGGCCCATGATGCCCCCAAGAGGGCCCCACGATGACCCAAGAGAGGGCCCTGGGAGGCCCCCAAGAGGGCCGAAGAGGGCCCCGAGAAGGCCCCCAGACGTCTCCAGCCCCCCAAGACGTCCCACGGGCCCCCAGGACGGCCCGAGAACCTCTCAAGGGGACCCCGCAGACGGCCCGAAGAGGCGAGCAACATGGAATGGTCTTCGGTGTCTATGGTTGTTGGGGTCGCTGCCTTTTCGGGAGCCGATCGGCCGAAGACGGTTCCGAGGGCCTCCGAGAGTGCCCCAAGACGACCCGGGAGGAATGCCCCCGAGACGGCCCAAGAGGGTCTTGAGGCGACCACAGAGAGCCCCAAGAGGGCCATGGGAGGCCCCAAGGAGGAGGAGGAGGAGGAGGAGGAGGAGGAGGAGGAGGAGGACGAGGACGAGGACGAGGAGGAGGAGGAGGAGGAGGAGGCCCCAAGACGGCCCGACACCCCCCAGGACTGCCCAAGAGGTCCCCAGGCCGGCCCGAAGTGCTCCCAAGAGGACTCCCAAGACGGCCTGAGGATGCAGCACTCGTTGATGCTCCTTGGGTTGTTGAAGGTGCTTTGGGCTCTCGCTGCTTCGGGTCCAGATCGACCCAAGACGGTTCTGAGGACCTCGGGGAGAGCCTCGATTGGCCAGGCGGTTCCCACGAGGGCCCCAAGAATGCCCAAGAGGGCCCCAGGACGGCCACAGAGAGCCCCGAGAGTGCTCGAGAGGGGCACACGAGGGCCCCAAGAGGATCATCCTAAGAGAGGTCACAGAGAGCCGCAGGAGGCCCCCAAGAGGTCGAAGAGAGCCCCAAGGAGGCCCCAGTACGAGCCGAGCCCCCCAGTCCGCAGCCATTTTGACTGAAGCCATTTTGGCTGCAGTTTTGCTGGTTTGGAGCTTCAGTCTTCCGATCGCAGCCGACCCTCAGCGTATCGTCTACAGTGATGGCCCGTGTCCTCGGACTCTTGTGCTTGCTTCATTCGTTTGCTCCGCTCTTGGCAGAAGATGGGGCCGTGGTGTTCGTCGTCGATCCCAGCTGGGACTGCGTGGAGAGCTACGTTGCTCACGTACCTCTACTGCAGAAGTACAAAATCGTCAAGGTCATGACACGTCTTGGGACGGCACCCCCGTGCAACATGGGCCGGGCCGATATCTACAGGAATTTCACGTTCAACTCGGCGACGCCCAACGACTCCGCGGCCGCCGAAGGCATCTGCCCCGAGTTGCTGAGCTTGGGCGTCCCTGTCAGGGCTGTCATCCCGACGCACGACCCTGCGGTGTACCTGGCGGACCGGCTCGCGGTTTGTGTCGGGGTGCGGGGGAACCCGTTCGAGGGGCCTCTGGCGAAGGCCAGGCGCGACAAGTGGGTCATGGGCGAGGCCGTGCGCAAGGCTGGGCTCCGCGCCGTCCACGAGAAGGTTGTCTCCACGTGGGGCGAGGCGAAAGCGTACCTTCAGTCTTTGGATCCGCCCCTGTCCCCCGCCAACCCCGTCATCTTCAAGATCCTCGAGGGCTCCAGCAGCGAGGGCGTGAACAAGGTGTACAGCCTCGGGCAGGCCGAAGCGATCGAATGGCCTTCGGCCCATCCCACCACCGTGCTCGGGTTATGGGCCATGGGCCTCTACAGTCGGGGCCCTGAAGAAGGAACCCTTTTCGTTGGGGAGGGGCTCCGTGTTCCTGAATAGTTCCACAGGTTGTCTTATGTCTTCCTTTGGTTTTCGTTGGGAAATCGAAGTTTACTTATGGGAAAAAGGGGCCTCGTTCCTTATTCAGGGTTCCTTAGGTCAAGGCCCCGACTGTAGGGTGTTCGTTGGGGTGTCGCGGGGGGCCTCTGGGGGGCCGGTTGGGGGGCCTCGTGAGAGCCGTCTTGGAGCCTCTTGGTGCGTCTTGAGGGCCTCTTGAGGGTCCTTGGCATCGCTCGGACGTGTGCATTTTTCCTCCGGCGAGGACCATCGAGGAGCATCCTTGATCATTTGGCGAAAAAACCACGCACGAAACTGAAAAGAGCACAGGAAATGGACGTCCGAGCGATGGCCAGGGTCCCTTCGGGCCTCTTGGGGGCATCTTGGCGCCTCCTTGGGGCCTCCTGCGGGCCTCGTGGGGCAGAAGACTCGGATTTTCCGTTCGTGTTACCCTTTTGGGCCCTTCTTGGGGCTGTCCATGGGCCGTCCTGAGCGCTTCTGGGGCCGTCTTGGAGCCGTCTGGGGGCCCTCTTGGGGACCTCTTGGGCCGTCTTGGGACGGTCTTGGGGGCTTCTTGGGCTGTCCTGGAGCGTTCGAGGCTCGAGACGTCGAGGGCACCCAGAACATCAAAAGCAACCATTTGAACAACGATCACGGTAGCCTCCCGGAGCCCTCCTGGGACGTCTTGGGCGCCCTTTCGGCCGACGGGAGGCCATTTTGGGCGTCCTGGCCCGACCGCGCGGCGATTCGGGGGCCGCTTGGGCCGTCTCGGGGTCCTCTCGGGCCTGCTGCGCTGCCCCCGGGTAATCTCGGGGACTCCCCGGGACTCCGGTGGCCCGGGCCCGTGAGAGCCTTGCAGTTCTTTGCTTCTCGGGGCCGCGTGGGCCTCAGAGCACTGCGCAGCCCGCCCAGCTTTTAGCGGAAGAGGTTCGCTCTCGCCCCGCCGACCAAAAATGAGCCTCAGAGCACTGCGCTGCGTGCTGAAGGCACGGTGGCGGATATTCAGCAGCGATACCAGCGGCGATAACCACTTTGGAGACAGCATCAAGAAGCTTCTCATACAGGAGTTCCTGCAAGGCGACGAGTACGTTATCGACTCTGTCAGTCGTGACGGAGTGCACAAGGTTGTGACGGTCTGGAACGAAGAGCTTCATCCAGGGAATGGCGTCTTGGACTTGTACTATGGTTTCAAAGCCATGGACCCAAAGGACCATAAGATCCAGGCCATCATCGAGTATGCGAACAAGGTGCTCGATGCCACTGGTCTTCAGAACGGTGCCTCGGACATGGAGGTATTCTGGCTCGAGGAGGATTCGGCGGCTAGCCGTGGGGGTGGGGAAGTGACAAGGGGCGGGCCTTCTCAGAAGGCTCGGACGTCACTGGCCTTCTGAGAAGTTTCCCAAACCTTCTCCTTGGCATCGCTCGGACGTGTGCATTCTTCCTTCGGCGAGGACAAATCGAGGAGCATCCTTGATCATTTAGCGAAAAAACCACGCACGAAATTGAAAAAGACACAGGGAATGGACGTCCGAGCGATGGGCCAGTCTCCGAAGACGCAGAAGACTTCTCAGAAGGCGTGAGGGCTTCTGAGAAGTCCCGCCGCCTTCCGAGGAGGCCTCCTCTTTCTCCTTCCCCCCCCTCGCTCGCCGCCGAAGGAGGGCAGACCCTGCGTCGTGGATCTGAATGGCCGCTGGACTGCTCTCATGTGGCACGACGGCCTGGCCCTCGAGCAGGAGACGGTTGGGAACAACCAGATCACAGCGACCATCAACGCGTACCTCGACGGCGATGCTTTCGATGACATGCCGCTCGTTCCGTCTATGAAGCAGCACGGCGCCATCCTTTTCACAATGGCTCGCCAAACGGGCTTTCTCAGGGATACTCCAGGGCTGGCAGTGGCGAAGAAGTTGCCCTCGTATTGGGGCAGCTACAACGACGGAATGTTCGTGGGCACGTTGATCGACAAGCTCCCCACCAGTCACCCTTGCCTATTCATCTTGCTCGCTCACAGGCAGAAGGCCGTGGTGGATGAAGACTACGACCGCATCATCGGCCTGGAGAATTCGGGCGCTTGGTTTGACATCGTGCAGTCGCCAGGGAACACGTCGCTCGCAGCGCTGCGATCAAACGTCGACGGTTTGCCAGGCCAGCGGCTGCCAGCGATTGCCGCATTGGCGATGCTCGCAGCTGCAGCCGTGTTCACCCTCTTCGCAATGTCGATGCAGAAGGTCCGAGATGACACAGAGTATCTGGCAATTTGATGGGCAATTTTGTTGCGTGATACGAGGGGCATGCAGTGGGGGCCCATTCCAAGAAACACCCTGCTTGCCTCCAGGGGGCCCTTGGTTTCTTGGGTTTCGATGGTTTTGCTATGGAGAGCGCGGCGTTCCCACACCACAAATCAATTGACGTTCTGGGGTCTCAGGGTTGGGTTTCTTGTGGAAGGGTTCTTGTGGACTGGCCTCCACTGTAAGAGTGAGCCATCGTAGTTTGTCGCGTCGGGTTGCCGATCGCGTTTTTGCCTACAGGGGTTCACTCGAGAACAGCTGGTCTGACAAAGGCTGACCCTTCGTCGCGATCAGCATTTCTGTTCTGCCTGGGAGCCCGCATGAGTCTCTGCCACAGTCTACATGCTGAAGTTTGCGTGTGAGGTTCCCGCATCATGGTGCCCTATTTGTCAGGGCAGGGCCCGGCATCGATTCTCAATAGCACAGACCCTTTCTGGAGACCCCTTTTCTTTTCACACTGTCACCTGAGCCGACAGGTCGGCAGCTGGCGAGGCTCCCCTCGTGCCCGCCCCCTTGTGGGCACGGCTGGCTTCCTCAGACGCATCAGTCCGAGCAGGGCTTGGCAGCGATTGCCAGTACATGGTGGCCTCTTTGGGAGGCTGCCTCAATTTTCAGGGCGGCCTGGGCAGCTTCCAGCCAGAGCAAGCACGGCATGCTTGTTGCGCCTACAGTCGGGGCCCTGAAGAAGGAACCCTTTGCGTTGGGGAGGGGCTCCGCGTTCCTTAAGTGTTTCACAGCTTGCCTCAGGCTTTCCTATTGTTTTCGACCGGAAATCGAAGGTTAACTTATGAAAAAAACGGGCCTCGTTCCTTATTCAAGGTTCCTTAGGTCAGCGCCCCGATTGTACCGACTTGTCGATCCGAGCGCACACGATGCATTTGGTGTGGAGCGCCGCTCGGCGCTAGATGTCGACATGTCACGAGTTTCCCTGAGCGACGGGGAGGAATAAAACGAGCCAAGGCCGCCAGGACGGCCCAAGGGGGCCCCAGAACGGCCCAAGAAGGCCCCTAAGACGCCCAGAGACATCCAAAAAGGGGCTCCTAGAGGACCCCCCCCGACGGCCCAAGGACGGACGCAGCTTTGACGCCAAGGCTCCCAAGAGTACCAGGTGATTGGAAAGTTCTTGATTTACGAGCCGGTGTTGTAAAGGAACTATGAACGCTAAGGCTCCAATGAGCGAGCAGTGGCGCAGAAAGCTCTGGGAGCCAAGGCTCCTCAGACCGAACAGTGACGTAAACAGCTTTTCACACCAAGGCTCCCAAGAGCGAACGATGACGTAAACAGTTTCGAGTCTCCCAAGAGCGAACGGTGACGTAAACAATGCTTCACACAAAGGTTCCCAAGAGCGAACGGTGACGTACAAAGCCTTTAACCTCAAGGTTCCGAACAACTAACGATGACGTGAAACAGATCTTCACATCACGACTCCCAACAGCGAACGGTGACGCGAAACATATCTTAACGCCAATGTTCCCAAGAGTGAACGGTGCCATGAGCCCTCTCGGGCAAGTTCCTGAGGCGCTCTTTCCGTTCCCGTGCCAGCCCAGGTGACGGAAAGAGCGAGGTACGAGTGGTTACGTTTTGGTGAGGTGAAGCCCTCTAGGGAGGGGTTCCAGGGGATGGGGGAAGCGCGGTTGGGCCCGGGTAGCACGCCCGTTCTCTCCCCAAGACGGCACAAGAGCCCCCCCCAGAACGACCAAGAGGTCCTCAAGACGGCCCAAGAGAGGTCCAAGACGGCTCCGAGGCGGCCCAAGAGCGCTCCAGGATAGCCCAAAACTGGCCAAGAGCGTTCGAAGATGGCATCAGGTGGCTTCACGACGGTCCAGAGCGGGCCCAAGACGGCTCAAGAGGCCTTGACGAGGACCCCCCCAGAGAACCTTAGGAGGCCAAAAGCATTTAATGCTATTAGGTATTATATGGTTTTCGGGGTTCTCGTTTTGTCGGGCTTCCGACGGTCAGAGACAGCCCAACAGGCTCGACAGATCACTCCAAGACGGCCCATGAGGCCACCAGGACGGCGCAAGAGAGCCTCAAGACCACCCAAGTGGGGCCCAAGAGGGGCCCAGAGGGACCCCAGAGGCTCCAAGGGAGCCGCAAGAGGGCCATAGGATGCCCCCAAAGAGGGCCCCTCGAGACGGCCCCGAGCCCCTCGAGACGGCCCAGAGAGGCCCCAGGGACGACCCGAGGGCCTCCTGAGAGGAACCCCCCAGGCGGCTCGAGGAGGCAAACTCCATCGACGGTCCTATGCGGTTCCATTTGTTTCGGAGTTGTCGCTGCCTCGGGCCCCGATCGGCCGAAGACGGCCTTGAGGGCCTGCAAGGTGGCCCCAAGGCAGCCCAGGAGGCTCCCAGCCCCAAGACAACCGCAGAGGGCCCCGGGATGGGGCCAACAGAGGGCCCCCGGGAGGCGCCCAAGAGAGCCCAAGGGAGGCCCAAGCGAGGCTGCAGAGAGGGCCCCCAAAAGGGCACCACGACGCCCGAGAGGCCCCCAGGACGTCCCGGCATGCGCCCAAGTGGATCTCCAAACTGGCCTGAGGAGGCAACCCATCACCGAGCGCGTTCCACTACTCGCAAAGTGCTTACTCGCCAACGTCCGGAAAACACATGTCTGCTTTGATGTGATTTATCGTAGATCCCCCGCGGGGGATCCAGGCCATTTGCGAGTAGTCACTTTGCGAGTAGTGGAACGCGCCTGTCTAAACCACGTTGATTTCCCCGCGGGTTTTCATGCTTGTTCTTGCGTTGGCGCTGTTTCGGGCCCAGATCGGCCGAAGACGGCACCGAAGGCCTCCGAGATTGCCCCAAGACGGGCCAGGAGGGTTCCAAGAGGGCACCTGGACAGCCTCAGAGAGCTTCCAAGACGGTCCAAGAGGGGCCTAAGCGTATCCCAAGAGAGCCCCCAGAGTGCCGTACGTAGGTGGCCGCCAAGAGGGCCGAAGAGGGCCTCAAGAGGGCCCCAAGGCGGGCCAAGCCCTCCAATACGGAATGAGTTGATGACGTAAAAAGCTCTGAACGCCAAGGGTCCCAAGAGCGAGCAGTGGCGCAAGAAGCTCTTAGCGCCAAGGCTCCCAACAGCGAACGGTCACGTAAACAGATCTTGACGCCAAGGCTCTCAAGAGCGAGCGGAGACGTAAGCGATCCGAACTCCCAGGCTCACATGAGCGATCGGTGACCGAGACAACTCTTCCCACCAAGGCTCCCGAAACAATGACACGTTGCTGAGCTTTTCACTTGCCAATGGTATGAGCGGTAAAAGGATGCTGTTTCGTCGCATGGCAACGCAGTGGGCAAGAGCATGCAACTATTGCGAAGGCCTTACGGCCGGTGCCGCCGACCCTGAAGGGGGACGACGACGGCGGCAGCGACAGCGACGTCGACAACGACGCTGACTCTCTGGTACCCTTCATGGGCCCTCTTGGGAGTCTTTTCGGCCCTGTTGGGGGGCTTCTTGGGGAACTTCTTGGGAAGTTCCGTGGTCACTTGGAGCCGCCGTGGAGCGGATCTGAGGCCTCTTGGAGGCACGCAGCACCCCGCAACAGCAGATAAGAGTGAGGAGGATGCCTCCGGGGAGGGGGTGTGGTAGGAGGAGGGGGTGGCCTCCCTATCCAAAACGGGGGAGCAGGAGCTAGTCTCCCTTGCCTCCCTGGCCTACAGGGAGGAAAAGGGGGGAGGGGCGGGGTTTGTAAAGTTCCCCTTGTCCACGGGGAGGCCGCCCCCTTGTCTCCCTGGCACGCCTGGGTGGGGTGGTGGGGGGAAGCTCCAGTTCTCCTTGTCCACAGGGGGGGGCGCCCCGTCCACAGGGGCTTGGCATCGCTTCCTTGATCATTTGGCGAAGAAAACCACGCACGAAACCGAAATATACACAGGGAATGGACGTCCGAGCGATGGCGAGGGGGGGGCGCCCCCCTGTCCCGCCCTGTCCGCAGGGGAACCAGGGGAGGGAGGGGGGGGGGCTCAACTTCCCCCTGTCCACAGGGGGGGGGACCACCCCATGGGGACCCCCCTGGGGACCTCCCCGGGGACCTCTGAAAGGTTGCTCTTGGACAGCTCTGTTACTCCGACGGAGTCGGGGCGCACAATCCAGACCCGCTGTAAATCGCCCACGTGCGCAAACGTACGTCGGAAAGGATTTGGATGAGCAACATGTCGGTGGAAGTCATGGTGGCGATGGTGCACTCGCCATCGTTGCAATATTTGTTTAACATGCAGGGTGTGTGGAGAAACAGGTCTTTACTCAGAGAGCTTTTGGATCTTACTGAGAAGTCCGTTTTTCCTTAGTGTTCGGTTTTTGTTCGCTATTTTTCGTGCAGACGTTCGTTGCTTGAGGCGGGCGGGTTGGCTGGTCGGTTCAGAATATCGGGGAGGAGCCGGCATCGCCGTCCAACGGGCGAGCTCGATCTTCACGGATCGAGGGGGCCCTGATGGAAACGACAATTTGCGTACGCACTTGGTGTCTGCTCGGTCAGGCCACGGACACTCCCAGCCAGACGATTGTGCTCTTGCATGGGAAGGCAGGGGTCCAACGGAGCGCACCGCGACGCCAACGCCGCAACATGCCGGTGGCCTGGCGTCCCAGCGTGGGCCACCCGTGGGCTATTGTTTTTTTATACCATGGGCCCCACGTCCTCGCAACCGTCTGCGCAAACTGCCAGGCCTCTGCACATGAGCACGGCAGCCCACGTGGGGTCCGTGCGTGACCCGGGCGAGGCCCACGCCGGGCCGCCTGCATTCCACGAGCGCACTCGGGGCACGATCTTGTGGCGGCGACGACAAGCGTTCTTAGTGTTAGTGTTAGTGTTAGTGTTCGTGTTGTTGTGGTTGATGTTGGTGTTGTTGCTGTTGCTCTTGCTGTTGCTGTTGTTGTTGTTGTTGTTGCTGTTATTGTTGCTGTTGTTGTTGCTGATGTTGTTGTTGTTGTTGTTGTTGTTGTTGTTGTTGTTGTTGTTGTTGTTGTTGTTGTTGTTGTTGTTGTCGCTGTTGCTGTTGCTGTTGCTGTTGTTGCGTTGTTGTCGCCGTCCACGCCCGCGACGCACTCATAATCTTGTGGAGGATAGTCAATGGAGAGGAGGCGTGTTGCCAAATCATTTCCAGATGTCTAAAACATGGTTTAAACATGTGAAAACTTGTTTAAACTATGTTCAGAACATCTTTCCGACATTTAAAACACATTTTTTAATTCAATGATAGGACTGTTAGGGTGTCTATTGTTGTGGCATCCACAACGATGATCTCTTTTCTCCTCTCCATTCAGCCCTTGTCTCAGTTTGGCCCCTGCCAGGGAAAATGGGAGACACGTTCTTTGCACTGACGTTCGAAAGCTCGCGTCCTTTTCTTCGGCGGTAACATTGACCGTTGTAATTCGCCCGCGTACGCGATCGCACATCGAAAAACATTTGGAAGAAGAAATACGGGTGGAACTCATGGCGGCGATGATACCCTAACCATCGTGGCAACTTTTGTTTACCATGCAGGGGGTGCGGGGAAACATGTCCTTACTATGACAAGTAGTGGCTCTAAATAGGAAGTCCGCTTTTGTTTAACAAACAAGTGAACGTTACGTATTGATTATTCGAAGTGGCAGGATCTGAATCAGACTTTGGCGTTCTTGTGCAGGCAGTCGTTCGTTGCCTGAGGCGGGCGTTTTGGCTGGTGGGTTCGGAACCTCGGGGAGGGGCAGCATCGCCGTCCAGCGGGGGCGCGCTCGAACTTCCGTCCAACCCGCGACCAAAGCAGGCAGTGACCCAGACTCGCCGTCCGCTGCCAGCCGCCAGAGGGCGACGAGGAGGTAGGGGAGGGGGCAGATAGGGGGCGAGGAGGGCGACGAGGAGGTAGGGGAGGGGGAGGAGGGCCTGGGCGAGGACCGAGGACGAGAGGAGGAAGAGGAGGAGGAGGAGGAGGAGGACGAGGAGGAGGAGGAGGAGGAGAACGAAAAAATCCTCTGGCCTGGCATTGGAT